ACACACCCAGTTCTTGCCAACCGGGGCAGCCCAAGCTTTTCTACAAGTAAGCAGCTGGTGCGCTGGGACCCGGGCAGTCACCTCCAAGGCGCGCCTGGCTTCCCTGCCCAGAGTCAGGGGCCAGGAAGGTGGGCTATGAGCCCTGTGTCCTGTCTCGGCCCATGGCTTGGCCTGCTCCGGGCCCCGTATGCACCTCAAAGTGGCCTGGTGGCTAAGGGGAGGCTGCGTGCGGCTGTGCATGTGAGCTTCCGTCGCGGATGGTGCACGGAGTGGTCAGCCCAGGACTGTTGCCAGGGCCCTGCTCCCCACCTTCCAGAATGCCTCACCGGGCCGCCTCACCTTGGGCACAGAAGCTCCTTTTTAAATTTTGTTATTTTCGGCTGTTCTGGGAGCTGCTCGGTCTCCAGGAAAGGACTCACAATGACTGAACTCTGGAGAGTCTGGTGGGTAATCAGGAGACAGCAACACAGCTACCCTCAGGGACACAGATGGGGATGCCTGCAGGAGGAGGTGGCAGCTCCCCGGCTTTCAGGCCCCCTCTGGCGGGAGCAAGCTGGCTGCTGTAGTTGGCCTGGCAACGCGGGCAGCTGGAGGGTGGAGGGTGGCACACTTGTGTGGGACACCAGGTATCTGGCTGGCCGCACTGATGGAGCGCCCGCTGGGCACTACTGAGGCCCTGAGTGTAAAGCAGCGGGCCAGAGCCCCGGGGGGGCAGACAGCCGCCGAAGGTCCAGCAGGCAAGAGGTGGAGACAGGATTCTGAGCCACGAGCGAGGGAGGACCGCAGGCGGGCCTTTCCCCCTCTTCAGCTGGGGGGGGGGGGCTGCCAAGCTTCTATTTCTGTCCCCCTTTGACAGAGGAGGAAACTGGGGCTAGGGAGATTAAGCGGCTTTACTTGGGGGCACTCAGCTGTCCCTAGAGGCCCAACCTCAGTGGTGTGGAAACTCTCAGAGCTCCAGGGAAGGGAGAGGTGGTGGGAGCAGTCAGGGCGCACCCAAGGGTGCCCTGTTCCCCAGGGGCCCTTGTGCTTGGCCTGAGGGGTTGTTAGCCCAGAGGCTGGGGTGCCCAAATGCATCCCTCTTACCCATTCTGCTTCCCCAAACCGTCTCGGACCTCGGGGGAGGGGCCCTCCACCCCTGGGCTATACACAAGTGGACCAGCAAGACGGGGCCATGGGAGGGACTGCGGAGTGAGGTCTTTTCAGTAGAGCCAGGCCCCCAGGGAGACCCCATCCTGTTGTGTCCCGGGAGCCGTCTCAGGTCAGTGGGAGAGGCAGGTCCGAGTCCTCTGGTCAGCCCAGGCAGGAGCAGCCCCGCTGCACCCATCCAGGCTCCACAAGCTCCGGGGCAGGGGCTCTGGTTTTGGCTTCCGGAGAATGGGGTCTTCTTTAAGCTATGAGGTGCCCGGGGCAGCCCAGGGCGTGGGGCCTCTGTCCCAGACGGGGTAGGGGGTGTCCCGACCTCGGAGGCAGAGGTGGCTGCAGAAGCCTGTGAAGTGAGCGAGGGCCGCGGCCTTCGGTTCTGGAAACTCAAAAGGCAAAGGTCTTCCCCAGCCAGAGCCTTGCCCCGGAGCCTCCCGCCAGGGGCCGGGGCAGCGGGGCCAGCGGGGGCAGCAGGGCTGGGGGGTGCCGGCCTCTCCGGGTGTCCCAGGCCAGGGGCTTTGGTGGCTTGGCTGCAGTGACCCAGGGCAAGCCCCTGCCGGAGCCCTGGCCTCCTCACCCGAGGACCTGGTGCAGAACACCCGTTGGGGAGGCGCGGGCCGGGCCGGGCCGCGCTGCTGGAGCCCCCACTCATGTTCACACGGCCAGGCCTGCACGTTTGGGCAGCGGGGTCCTGCGGGCCAGAAATAATCCCGGGGTCCCAGCGGCTGGGGTCGGGTCCCTCCCGCACAAGAGGCCACCTCGGCCCGCTGGTAGGTCCCCCCCCCCGCCCCGCTCCGCCCCCAGGGAAACGTGTTTTGTTTTTTGACGTTTTCATTGGGGTGTGACGCAGGCGAGGCCCCCCTTAAGGCGGCTGGACAGAACGGCACCCACGCACACGCCGCGGCGCGGCCCCCCAAGTCAGCGCCCGCGGGCCGGCGGGCGGCGGGGACGCAGAGCAGGCGGGGCGCGGGCCGCCCGGTTCCGGGAAGCCGGGCAGGGCCCTTGGCCCTCCGGTGCCGTCTCTGGCCCGCCCGCGGGGGGCGGAGCCGAGCTGGGCCCGGCGCCCCGCCCCTCCTCCACCGCCACGCGCGCGGGCGCCGGGCCGCGGGGACCGGCGAGGGGCGCAGCGGGCGGGGAGGCCGCGGAGGGGGCGCGGCCGAGCGCGGCTCCTCCCCGGCGGGGCCGCCCCGCGCCGCCCGCCGCGCCCCGCCCGCCCGCCGCGCCCCGCCCGCCGCGCGCCCCCGCCCCGCTAATTAGGCGCGCGGTTTGTTTACAAACACGGGCCCGGCAGGTGCGCGCCGCCCCGAGCCCGAGCGCGCCCCGGCGCCCCGGCGCCCCGCGGGCCCCGGCCCCTCCCGCCGCCCCCGCCCCCGGGCGCCGGGCCCCTCGCCCGAGGCGCGTCCCCGGCGCGGGCGGGCGGGCGGGCGGGGGCCCGGGTCCCCCCGGCGCCGCGCCCCGCCCCGCGCGCCCCCCGGGCCGGGCCCGCTCGCGGCCGGGTCGGCGGGGCGGGCGGCGGGCGGGGGCGCGCGGGGCGGGGCGCGGCGCGGCGGGGCCGGGACTTGTAGTCCGCGCGGCGCGGCCTCCCCTGGGCGGCCCCGGCGCGGGCCCGGCCGCGGACTACGACTCCCGCCAGGCGCCGCGGCGCGCGCGTGAGCCCGCTCGGCTGGGCGCGTCTATTATGCGGCCGGGGCCGGCGAGCCGAGGAGGAGCCGGCCGCGCGGGCCGGGAGGCGACGGCGCCGGAGCCGCCGAGGCCAAGTACGCGCTTCCCTGCTCCCCGGGGCGGCGGGCGGCGGCGGGGGCGGCGGGCCGGGGGCGCGCCCGGGCCCCGCGCAGGCCGCCGGCGCGCCCGGGCCCCGGCGCCCGGCCCCGCCGCCTTTGTGCGCGGCCGCGAGGCAACAAAGCGCGGCGGCCCCGGGGCCCGCGCCCCGCGCCCCCCAACGCCGCGCCCCGGGCTCGGGGGCGTCGCCGCGGCCGGGGCGCGCGGCCCGGAGCTGGCGCGGCCTCCCGCGCGAGGGGAGCGGCCCCCTTGCTCCGCGCGCCATCTTCGAGGGGGCGACCGGGAGGCCGCGGAGGGGAGGCGCGCGGCGGCCCCGCCGGCCCCGCTGGCCCCGCGCCCGGCCCGGGGCTCGCGCCGGGGCGGGGGCCGGGCCGGGCCGGCGGCGCGGGGGCAGCGCCTCCGGAGTCGGGGGCCCGGCGCTGGCCGCGCGCCCCGGCCGGGAGCCGCCGTTCCCGCTTCGAAGCGCGCCCTGGGAGGCGCCGGGGGCCGGGCCCGGCTCGCCCCCCCCCCTCCCGGCGCGGGCACCGGCGCGCCCCGCCGAGGAGACAGGCCGCGGGCGCCGGTGCCAGCGGGGGCTCCTCGGCGGGGCCGGCTCCGGGCGGGCGGCGCCCCGGGCCCGCGGCCCCCGCGAGTCCCCCGCCGGGCCCGTCCCGTGGGCGCCGGGGCCCGCCGCCCCTCCGCGCCCGACCGCGGCTCCGGGCTGACGGCGGGTGGGGGCTGCCGTGCCCGGGACGCTCTGGGGCCGGCTGCCGCGAGGAGAGGGGTGCCGGGCCCGCCTCCCCGCGCCCCCTCCCCGGAGCGGCGCCCAAGAAGTTTGCGCCGTACCCCGCTGTTCTGGGGGCGTCTCACCTTTCTTTCAAAGTGGGGGCTCTTCCTGCGCCCATGCAGTGCCCTGGGGGACCCTGAAGTCCACCCTGCTGCGGGTGGCCCGGGTTTTTCTGGGGGCCGTCTTGGCGCTCAGCGCGGGCGCCAGGGCCGTCCCGACTTAGGGACCCCCGCCCGCCCGCCCGCCCGCGGGGCGCCTCTCACTTGCAAACGAAGGTGTGTTTGCCCCGCGGCCGAGGCCTTGATGTGGGGTGGCCGCGCGGGGGCCGGGGCGGCTCTGGGCCCGGCCGGGGGGGCCCTCCCGCGGGTGCCGGGCGGGGAGGCGCGGGCCGGGCGCCCCGTGGGGTGGGCAGAGCCGGCCGGTCTGCTCCGCGCGGGGCCCGGAGGGGGGGCGCGGGCCGGGCGCGTAAACACGGGGCTCCCGCCGCGGGCTCCCGGCGGAAAGTGAAAGTGGGGGAGGGGTGGGGGCCCCGGCGCCTCCGGAGCTCCTCCCGGCCGCGGGCTCCGGGGGCGCCTCCTGGAGCTCTGGCCCGCGCACGGGGGGCCGCCGGGCGCGGGGAGGCGGCGGCCGGCGGGGGGGGGGGCGGCTCTCGTGGGGCGCGCGGCTCGGAGGCCCGCGCGCGCAGATCCCGCCCCCTCGCGGGTCGGCCCGGCCGAGGCTGGCGCGCGGCCCGGCCCTTTCCTCCCGCCGCTCGGCCCTGCCCGCCGCCCCCGCGCAGCCGCGCGGCCCGAGCGCAGGTCTTCCCGCCAGGGAAGGTCACCGGTGGCCGCTGGCGCGGGCAGCGCCCTGCCTGCTGCCAACTTGCCTTCCGGGCACTTGGGGTCCCCGCCACTCACTCCGCCGGGAGGCGCCCCCACCCGCCCTGGCGCCGCCCCCAATGGCGGCCGGAGGCGCCGGGTCTCTGCGGGCACTGTTTGGGTCCTGGGCACTGGTCGCTGTTCGGGTGCCCGGTGTGTCCGGCGGTCTCCCATCGCAGGCCAGAGGTGCCCTTTGGTGCCCTTGCCCTGCTCTGGCCGCCTGCGCCTGTCCTCGCTAAGACGGGGGCTCTCTCCAAGCCCCAGGGTCCTCCTGGGAGCCGCTGGCTGGCGAGGTTGGCTCCTTCCCCGGGCACGGCGTGTGCCCGCCCGGGAGGACGGGCAGGGGTGTGGGCCAGGCGGTCGGCCGCTCCTGTCCAGGCAGGGACGGTTAGGAGGACCCCTCTCTCCTTGCTGGAGGGCGGCGGGGTTGGTGAGGGGCTGCGTGGGGGTGACTTGGGGCGGCCCTGTCAGGCATCCCCGTGTGGGCGAAGTGGTGGTGTCACCGGCGCGGGAGGGCAGGGCTCGGCCTGAGGAGGAGCTGGGGTGCAGGAGTCGTCCCTCGGTCCTGCCCTGGGACGCGGGGCAGGACTGTTCCCAGCCCCCGTGACCCAGTTGGTGCTGGCACCTCTTCGTGTGGTCCCCGGAAAGGGCCCTTGAGGAGCGAGACTAAGAGCTGGGCCCTCCATGCCACAGCCGAGTCCTGGCCTGGTGGACGGGGGGTGAGCTGAGCAAAGGAAAGAAAAGGGGTGCTGTCCGCCCCTGCCAGCTGCCCTAGCTCACGCAGTTCCTGAGAAGGGGCCCGGTCACTCTGTGTGCCAGCCAGGGCCAGGAAAGGTGGGTAGGAGCTCCGGCCCAGGGAGGGGTGACCCCTGGCCAGAAGGGGGGGGGGCCTTCGTGGCTGTCCCAGGGGCTCAGGCCAGGCGGGTGCCTCGCAGTGTGTGCTGTCCCACCAGGCTGTCCGGCCACCACAGTACTGGTCGGGTGAGGGGTGACCGTCTCCAGGGAGGGCAGCGGCTGCCCTCTGGACTGGCCACAGGCACTGTGGGCTCACACGAAGGCTGGGGCTTGCACTTCATCGGCTCTGGGGCCTGTAAGTGCCCCCTATGTCTGTTCCCCAGGACAGCATGTACAGTTGTGGTGAGCCTGGTGCCGGACTGGGTGGGCATGTGGCCATGTGGGACGATGGACCGGCCAGGGGAGGGCAGAGGGCAGCCCCAGGCGCACTCCATGTCGGGTGACAAGACTCCAGACAGCCTTCCCGTGGGCAGGGGTGGCCCCCGCACGTGTGGTGGGTGCATTTACGCAGGATTGGACCCCTCAGATTCTGCCCTGGGGTGAGGGCGGGCAGGGCCTCTGTCCCTGGATGTCAGTGCCAAGGCCTCCTGGTCACGTGATCTCTCTGGGCCTCCGGTAGAGAGCCATGCCCACCCTCTCTGGACGTGGCTGGGCAGGTGGCAGACTGGGGAGGCGATTGGCCAGGCCACTGGTGCCCTGTGTGGCGGCGACAGGAGGTGCCTCTCTGAACAGGGGGCAGTGGTGGTGCCCCAGGTCCTGTCTTCACTGCAAGGGAGCGGCAGGCGTATGGGAGGCCTGGCCCTAGCCCTCTGCCAGCCCAAGGGCCGGGGCCGGAGAGGATCGGAGAGGCTGGTTGGTGGGGGCCTCTCCCTCTGGTGCCCTGCCGGCTTGGGTGGTGGTGAGTGAGGCGGCCACGCTGAGGGTACGGATTTGGGCCCCTGCTGGGGAGGAGGCGCCGTCACCCCTGCGACTGAAGACCGGAGCCCGCGGGCAGTGGCACGAGGCCGCCCACGGCTGGCCACTGGGCTCCAGAAAGTGCCAGAGTGGGTGGGGCCTCCCGCAGCCGAGCCTTGGTGCTCAGGGCCAGGTCCTACCTGTGTGACCACCAGTGTCCCCGCGGGCCCTTCTCCCTGGGGAGGGGCGGCCCCTGTCCTGTCTGTGGGCGCCATTCCCGTGAGCGGGGAGTCCCCAGGCGCCTTGAGGGCTGGCCAGGCGTCTGGGTCTTGTGCCCACCCCCTGGGGCCTCATGTTCTTCTCGTTGGTGTTTCTTGGCAGGGGGTCAAATGCAGGTGGCCTCGCAAGAGGGGGTGCAGCCAGCCTTGCCTCCCTGCGGGGCAAGCAGAGGGCAGCCGCTGCTCAGCAGGCCAGAGGCACCGCTGCGGCCGGTGGGCCGGTGTGTCAGGGTCATGGTGCTGGCGGTTGAGCGAGAAAGGCCGCTGTGCGGGGCCGGCAGGGAGGAGTACGCGTTCAGGAAGACCTCAGTGTGAGCGCCTGCTCCCGAAGGGGTGTGGGTGCAGGGTGTGGGGCGTCCTGCAGCCGGTGGGGGACGGCTGGTCAGGGTCCCTGCTGTTGGGAAGCAGGTGTGACTTCGGGGCCCCTCGGGGGCAGCCTGGGCAGGGTCTGCATGAGCCCAGCGTGCGGGGAGGATGGGAGAGCCCTCTTTGGGGCCCCGACCCCGCTCCCTGGGCCCACACAGGAGGCAGCTGCTCTGTCCGTCACTCACGCCAGCCCTGCCCGCGGGGATCTGGTTTCCTGGAGGGCCGGCCTGGACCCTCCGGGCAGCCCCCGCCCTGTGGACGCTCCCCTGGCCCACTGGCTCTGGGGTGGCGGGCCCGGCCTCCTGCGGCGCCCCCAGCTCCATCTGTGGATTCAGAGCAGCCGTGGTGGGAGGGTTTGGCGGGGGCAGGCAGCCAGCGGGCCCCTTTGCCCCTCTCAGGCCTGCGACTCCGTTCCCTGAGCCTGCCCGTCCCCACCCGGAGAAGCAGCTCTAAGACTCGTCTCCACGGGGCAGGCCACGTGGAGGCCAGGCCTGGAGACCCCATGGGAAGGTGGAGAGCTCAGTGGGGTGCAGAGAACACCTGAAAAGTGAAGACTCCCTCAGATTTTGGAGCCACCCCCGGGCTGGGCCCCTCAGCCCTCCCCCCTAGGCCCCCGGGCTCGGTAGCCTGTCTGGGGCCCAGGTGCTGGCGCCTGGGGGTCCTGCCGTCTTCGCCCTTCCCGGAGGCCCCGGGAGTGGTACGGACTCGAGGAGACCCTCCCCCATGCTTTCTGCTCGGCCCGTCGGCTGTTCCTTCCTCTCTGGAGCGGGCGTCCAGGCCGCTGGGGACAGGGGCCCCCACCTGCCTCCGCTGTGGGGAGTGGCTGTGCTGCCCCTGATGGGGTGCACAACCCCCTTGGTGAGCCCCGCGCCTTTGCAGGGGCCCGAGTATGTGCGTGTGCCCTGTTCAGGGGAGGTGCGCGGGCGGCATTACACTTGCAGGAAAGGGGAGACCCCACCTCCCACGCTCACCCTGGGGGTCATGGGCATTTGCCTGCTGGGCACTGCCCTCCCGGTCTCCCTGGGGACCGCTGTGGGAGGGCTCCCCATAGCTACCACAGGCCTTGAGCAAGCAGGGCTGGGGCCAGACATTGCTCCTGGGCTTGGCGTGACCTGGCGTCCTGGCAGTGCCGAGCAGGACCCTGAAACCACAGGGCAGGTGGGCGGCGGCACCGGGAATACGCTCCATGCTCAGGCACTCTGCCCCTCCTGGGCCCCAGGGTGTGCCCCAAGATGATGGGGAGGCTTCCTGCTGGACTGCAGGCTTGGAGCCAGGGTCAGGGATAGGAGGAGCTGGAGGGGGCCTCCGGGGTGTCCCTGTGGCCGGCAGCTGTGGCCCCTCCTGTTGCCCCTGGGTGCGTGGTGCTGCCCTGGCTGTGTCCTGCCCACTGCTGGCTCCCTGGGCTGGGCAGCAGCACTGGGGCCAGGTCGTTGACGGCAGCTTCTAGGTAGCGGGAGGAGCAGGGACACACTGCACCTCCCCCGCGCCCGCGGTCCCTGTTCAGGGCTGTGTGTGTGCGTCACGCCCACCAGCACGCACCTGTGTCTGGCACCTTTCACAGTCCTGTGGTACCCTGGGGCCCGACCCGCAGCTGGTGTGGGGTCCTGGCATCTGCTCTGCAGTCCTGTGCTGCTCGGGAGATTCCAGGAGGCCCTGGTGGGCAGCAGTGTTGCCGCAGGAAGGCCTGGAGGAGGCCCAGCCCGCCACTGCCAGTGACCCATTGGCGAGGGGCCGTGACCAGTGTGGCCGCAGGGGACAGCCTCAGGTCCTGCGTGGATGTGGTGTCGGGGGAACTGGGCTGGCGCCTGCCTCTGGCACTGTGCTTCTGGGGGCCGTCAGTGGGAGCTGGCCTGCCCGCCCCCAGCTCCACGCTGGCTGGCTCACACCGGGGCTGGTGAGGTGGAGAGCATGGGGCACCAGCTCACGCTCTCAGCACGATGTGGGGCCAGGGCCGGACAGGTGGGCGAGGGACCCTGGTGTCAGGTTGGGGACCTCTTTCTCCTCTGCTTGGGGTTGGGGCAGGAGTAGGTCTCTGGGGAAGGCCCAGTGTGGCCTGTCTCTGTGGGGAAGACCATGCCAGTCAGTGTGGCACAGTTGCCCGCTGGCCAGGGTATGAGCTGGCAGAACTGCACGCCTGGGCACCTGGCCTGGCCCACACCGCCCCCCCTCCCTGAGGGAATGTGGGGGAGACAGCAAGGCTGAGAGTGTCCATGCGCAGGCTGTCCCAGCCTTCGACGCCAGGGGTGCGGGCAGCACCGGGCCCGGCTGGTGGCGAGGGTGCGGGGTGCTCAGTGCTTGGGATGCATCGAGAGTGGGTTGCTCCCCGGTGTTCTCAGCTAACACCAGGTCCGTGCCGGCATCGCCCTGTAGTAGCTACGTGCTGCCCGAGTTAAGCCCCCCGCCCTGGCCGGTCTGTAAAACGGGACCCTGACTTCTCTCAGGAAACGGTGGGGTTGCTGTCAGGGGATGTCGGGATTGTTGCCCGGGCTGGGGCTGGGGCTGCAGCCACGGGTACCCGGTGACCCCGCAGGCACCGCCTTCTCCACACTCCCTATTGGCCGAGGCCCGGGCGTGTCCCGGCCCGGCCAGCATCACAAACCAGAGCTGGTTCTCGTGGTGATGATGGAACCTCCCTCCCTCACGGGAGCTCGGGCCACACTGGCTCCGGGGGCGCCCTGCCAGCGCTCGACTCTGCCAGGTCTCTCTGTGGGAGCTGCCCCCCCCAGGACTCGCCCGGCAAGACTGGTGCAGAGTCAGGCCCCGACGCAGGCGCCCAGGGGCCGCATCCCTGCCCCCCACCTGTCCCGGGTGCTCCCGCCCTGGCACCGCCCACTTGCTAAGTGGGTACCCCTTGTGCTGTTCCTCCCTCCCCAGGAGGTAGGTGTGGTGGCTTTGTGACAGTGAGGGGCGGCCGGACGTTGCTGACCTGGCTGTGCGGTGCCCACACAGGGGCTGGGGGTGACTGGCCTGTTTCTGCCATTCAGGTGCTGCCTGGCTGGACCCAGAGACGGGATGTGGCGCCGCCTCGGGGAGCACAGAGCCAGCCAGGGCCCCGCCGTGCTGCGGCTGTGACGGCCAGTGAGCGAGCGCGCCTGGAGGATGTCCACCCCCGCCGCGGTCGCCCCCGCGGGCCTCCCGGCGGCCGCTGGCCCCGTGAACCCGCCCCCACCAGAGGTCTCCAACCCCGCCAAGCCGGGCCGCAAGACCAACCAGCTGCAGTACATGCAGAACGTGGTGGTGAAGACGCTCTGGAAGCACCAGTTTGCCTGGCCCTTCTACCAGCCCGTGGACGCCATCAAGCTGAACCTGCCCGTGAGTCGCTGTGCTCCGGCCCGGGTTCCTGGCTCCCAGGGAGCCCGCGGAGCGGCTGGCCAGCTGTCCCACAGTGGCCAGGGCGCAGAAGGGCTGCTTAGGGACGTGGGTGGGGGGAGGCAGGAGTTGGGGAGCCTTCCCACGGTGGGGAAGAGGCGGGCAGCGATGGGGGCGGGAGGGGCTCTGGCACCCCCCCCCCGCCCCCCGCAGGCTCCGGCGCCGACCGGAGTGCAGCTCAGGGGGCTGAGGCCACTTTCCAGGCGCTGCTGCCCAGCCGCATGCTCAGTGCCGTTGTGCCCCCCACAGAAACTTCAGGCAGCCTGGGCTCTGGGCCCACTTTGGCACCTGGGCAAGGCTTGGATCTAGGAGGGGACTTGGCCCATCGCCACAGCTCCGTGTGCCCCCGAGACCCTCCCCACACCCAGAGCCTTGCAGAAGTGTTTAGGCAGGGGTGGGGAGATGGCCGCTGCTGACCCCAGATGGCGCGCCCTGCCGTCATGACAGAGGCTGCCTGCACCCCAGCCCCCTGTCCAGCCTGCTCGGAGGCCCTGTCTAGTCCTCACGCTTGGAAACTGGTAACACTTCCGATGTCTCTTTCCTAGGATTATCATAAGATTATTAAAAACCCCATGGATATGGGGACTATCAAGAAGAGGCTAGAAAGCAGCTATTACTGGAGCGCGAGCGAGTGCATGCAGGACTTCAACACCATGTTTACAAATTGCTACATTTATAACAAGGTGAGCTGCTGGGGCGGGGTGGGTGATGCTGGGGCAGTGCCTCCTGGGGGGGGGGGGTCTCCCGCCGATGCTCCACCCTCCGGGCCACGGTGTCCAAAGGCATGTCCCTCGTGCTGCCCGCCTTTGAGGCCCAGCCCCAGAAAGGAGCAGGTGCTCACTCCACACTTAGCAGCGCCCGCAGACATTGAAAGGTCCCGACAGCGCGGGCGGGATGCCGAGGCCCCCTGCGCCAGCCCAGGACGCAGCCACCTGCAGAGGCCGGCAGGGTGGGCCTTGCTGGCAGGGCATCTTGGGGGGTTCCCCAGAAGCTTGGCTTGGTGGGGTTTTCTTTTCCCCAGTAGTGACCTGATGGCCATTCTCCCCGTTGGGTGGAGTGAAGGGTTTTGTCTTTAGTCTCCAGGCTTCTCTGGGTCCTCCCCGAGGTCTCCAACTGGAATGGCGCCTTCTCTTGGCCACCCGTGCTGCCTTCTGCACCGCTGGCCCTCTCCGACGTGTAACCTTGGTTCTCCCTGTGTCCTCAGCCCACAGATGACATAGTGCTAATGGCCCAAGCCTTAGAGAAGATATTTCTGCAGAAAGTAGCCCAGATGCCCCAGGAGGAAGTAGAGTTACTGCCCCCTGCTCCGAAGGGCAAAGGCCGGAAGCCCGCTGCGGGATCCCAGAGTGCAGGTAAGGGGACAGGTGGGCAGCCTCGCCTGCGAACCACGCGGGACAGGCTCAGGGAGCCAGGACCTAGTGGTGGCAGTGGGCACCTGGTGGCTGCAGAAAGGGGCTGGCGGGCTCTCCTGATCCATGCTGCGCCCCCAGTCCCACTCTCAGGCTGCCTCTCCCGGAGGCCCAGGAGGGAGCAGGGCTGTCCTTTGTTCCATCTGGAACTGTGCCCCTTCGGCTCGTGACAGGAGGGGCTCGTTGTTACCTGTCCAGGTGGGATGAGGGTGAGGACTGGGAGTCCGTGGTCTCACCTGGTCAGGAATGGGATGTGTCCCGAAGGAGAGGCTGGCGGGTGGATGGCCAGTGCCGCTGGCTCCCTGGGTGGGTGCGCACAGGGATGGCTCAGCTGGTTACTGAGTGCCCAGGCGTCGGGGGCACAGGCCTGGCTCTGCCTCCCAGCCCATCCCATCTGTGCGCAGGCTGACTCTGGTCTTCGGCTGGCAGGGAGTGGACATCTATCTGCTTGGCGAGCAGCCACGGCAGTGTCCAAAGACATAGGGCCGGGGTCCTGGAGGGGTTCTTCCAGCCCCTGTGTGCTCTGGCTGGGGAGGACTATCCAGGAAGCTCTGGAAGCCTTGGGGTTCAGGCTTTCCGACTGGCAGTGCCCGCATGCTCAGCCTTCCTTCCTTGTCTTCAAGGAACGCAGCAGGTGGCGGCCGTGTCCTCTGTCTCCCCGGCGACCCCCTTCCAGAGCGTCCCCCCCACGGTCTCCCAGACGCCTGTCATTGCCGCCACCCCAGTGCCAACCATTACCGCAAACGTCACGTCAGTCCCTGTGCCCCCAGCCGCTGTCCCCCCTCCTCCCACGACACCCGTCATCCCCGTGGTCCCACCCACGCCGCCCGTTGTCAAGGTGAGTGTCCCTGGGGCGTGAGGCCCGGGTCTGCCGCCTTCTGGGGGCATCCACCGCTGGTTGGCGTCCGGGCCTCAGTACATAGAGCGCGTTCTGGGCCCGGGGACCGGCCGGCGTCCCGGCCGACATGGAGACCGGGGCTCAGGGAGCTGAAGGTCGCACAGCTGGTGAGGGCGGGCCACAGTGAACCCCGGCCCACTGGCCCGGAGCCCTGGCCTTGCAGCAGGCGGCCAGGGTGGTGGGAAAGCGTGGGGGAGGAGGGGTGCTGCCCGGATGTCCGGCTGGCGGCCCAGCGGGCAGTGGCCAGCTGCGCTTGGCTGGGTGCCCGGGGCGCCGGCTCTCGCCCCACAGCTCCGCTGCCCCGCGCCCCCATTTGCGAGCGCCTGCACGTCCACCCCTGCTTGCTGGGAGCTGCTCACGGCAGGGCCTGTCCAGGCTGCGTCCGGGTTGGAGGGCGCCCCTGCGAGGACGGTGTGTCCCTGCCCGGGGGCTGTTGCCCGGCACTGACGTGTGTCATCTTCTCCAATTTGACCCTCACAGCGACCCCCTGGGGCAGCAGTCCTTGCCCCTCTTACAGATGAGGAAGCAGGCGCTCAGAGGGGTTAAGTGACTCCCAAGGTAAACGCCGCCTGCCTTGCTTCCCCGGCCTCGCTGCCTGCGCCCGGCGGCGCCCAACAGGCCACCCTACCCGGCGCCCGCGGGTCCCGGAGCATGTCCCGTTTGCCATGGCCAGACAAGCCCTGGGCCCTCTGCGGCACGCGCTTGGCATCTGTGGTGCCGGTCCGGTGTCTGGAGAGCTCGCTGGGCCCTGTCGGCAGGGGTGGCGGCCTGGCTGGGCAGTGACCTTGGTGGCGCTCTGGCAGCTGGCCCTGCGAGGCCATTGGTCTGGACCTTGGGGTTGCCCGAACTGAGAGGGATTGTCCTCAGGGCGGGCTGTCCCTGGTGCCAGAGAGACCCCTGGGCAGGGCCGTGGACACCCGCTCTCACGTGATGGCCGCGGCCCCTACAAGCGTCTGCCCGGGACATACCCACAGGGGCCCTGTCGGTCAGTCAGAGGTCTCCTCCTGGCAAGCACAGGCCGCTGCTCACTCCCCCGGCCCTGGGCCCGGCCACCGCTGCCGCTGCCTCCGCTTGGGTCTCCTCCCATGGCCACTGCTCGGCCGCTGCATGCGCGTCCTGCTCAGCTGCCGCAGTCCCCAAGCAGCTGCTTGGAGGCCCCGGTCTGGGGCATGCCCCTGGCCTGTGAGAGCAGCGACTCCCTCTTGGCTCTGCTGTCCCCAAGCCCAGGCCCCGCTCAGTGACCGCCTCGGCCACGCTTGTCTTCTGCGCCCGGGCGCGGCTGCTTAGGGTGCTGGCCAGGGCCGGCGTGCCGCATGCTACACTGCACTGTGGCCCGCCATGGCCTGGGGCCTGGGGGGGCCCTCGGGGGCCTGGGCAGGCCGGGAAAACCACCACCAGCTGTGTGACCTTGGGCGACGCGGCCCTCTGAGCCTCTGGGTTCTCTGTTCCGAGGGACATGGGGGCGGGGGTGGCCTGCATGTCATCGCTTTGCCTGGTGCCTGGCAGAGGGTCGCCGCGGCGGCGCCCCAGCTCAGCGGCGCGGGCCTGGGCTCACCGCCGGCTCCGCTTTTGCAGAAGAAGGGCGTGAAGCGGAAAGCGGATACCACCACACCCACCACGTCGGCCATCACTGCTGGCCGCAGTGAGTCACCCCCGCCGCTCTCGGACCCCAAGCAGGCCAAGGTGGTGGCGCGGCGGGAGAGCGGGGGCCGCCCCATCAAGCCGCCTAGGAAGGACCTGGAGGACGGCGAGGTGCCGCAGCACGCGGGCAAGCGGGGCAAGCTCTCCGAGCACCTGCGGCACTGCGACAGCATCCTCAAGGAGATGCTGTCCAAGAAGCACGCGGCCTATGCCTGGCCCTTCTACAAGCCCGTGGACGCTGAGGCCCTGGAGCTGCACGACTACCACGACATCATCAAGCACCCCATGGACCTCAGCACCGTCAAGGTACGCACGTCCCCTGTGGGGCGCTGGGGCGGGCGGGGCTGCGGCCGAGGGCGGTTCCCGCTGGGTCTGGTCTTAGTCCTTCCTTGCCGTCCTCCTTCGGGGGCGTCTGTAGACGTCTAGTCTCCGGCAAAGCAGTGTTTTGGGGTGATCCCCTTTTCTGGGGGTGGGGCAGAGCTGATACCAGGAGCCTGGCCTCCCAGCCCCCATGTTGGGGCCTTCCCTTGTGCGGGGTCCTCCCCCTGGAGTCTTCCAGGTCACGGATACCTGGGCCACCGGCTGGAGTGGGGCAGGGAGGGAGGGCCGCGGCCTGGGTGAGAGTGGGTGCCCGAGGGGCTGCCCTGCATGGCGGCAGGTGGGCCCACTGCACCTGCCCAGGAGCTCCGAGCCGCCCGTCGGCCCAGCCGGTGTCCTGAGGCACGAGCTCCTCCGCAGCCCGGGATGTGTCCCCCAAAGAGGAAGCGTCTCCCACTGACGGGCCTGACCGCGGATGCCGGTCTCGTCTCCCTTTTGTCTCTCATGGAAGCCTTCCCGGGGGTCAGCGCGGACTTCAGGGGCTGGACGGGTCCCCAGGGCGGGGGATGGTGGGGACCCGGTGGGCCTCAGCTCCACCTCTGCCCCGCTGGGCCACCGGCCGGGGAGATGGCCTGAGCGTCATCCTGCCCTGTGCGGGCGCAGCTGGCCGCTAGGGGTCTCGTCCCACGCAGGCACCCTCCTGTCACCCAGCCACTTCCACCTGGGTGAGCGAAGCGCAGGTTGGGGGGGCCAGCTCTTTTCTGGAAGGGCTTTCTGCTTCTGGGCTGGTCCCTCCGCACCCGTCACCCCAGCTGTGGCAGGTTGGTTTGGGGTGGCGGGAACCCCTCCCAGCTGCTCTCAGGACAGTGCTGTGTTCCATTTGGGGCTTGTGGGGCCCTGCTCAGCCCCCACACAGACGGCTGTGTCCATCTCCACGCACCCCCTGAGCACCCCCAGCGTGGGGGCTGCTGAGCCGGCTGTGGGAAGGAGTGGACCGCCTCTGCCTGCTGTTACAAATGGGAAAACTAAGGCGGGGGCGGGGGGTGTTGGTGAGCTCGCTGTCCAGGCTGGTCCTCAGCCCTGCCCGCAGCTCCGACTACCTTGGCTGAGCCGCCGAGGAACAGGGTCATTGCTGGTGGGGGCGACCGCGTTGACCCCATGTTGATCTTGAGGTGCTTGCCCCCCCATTTACGATGGAAGAGACTGAGGCTAGAAGGGGGCCTGACGGAGAGGCGCCCGGGCCTGCCCACACAGTGGCTGTGGCCTTGGCAGGTGGGGGTGCTGGGGCCAGCGCCGCCCTGGGCATTTTTTCTTGGATGCCAGAAGCATCAGGGGCCGTGAGGCGGGCAGGTGGGCGGCCCCTGCTGGTTCCCGCTCCAGTGTGGGGTCTGAAAGGGACATACGTGCTCACATCACCCTGCCACCCCCAGGAGGCCCTCTCCTGCCGTTAGTCACCCCACGTTACCCTGTTTGTTCCCGTGCCTGTCCCGGAAGTGCTCCGGGTCGAGCTAGGACGACAGGCTGGGAACCCCTCAGAGTCACAGGCTCTGTGTCCATGTGGCCTCCAGCTGGGCCCCGGGTGGGGCCATGAGAGCCAGAGCCACGCAGCCTGAGCGCTGCCGGGGGCTCTCGGGCGGGACAGGGTGTCCGGCCGCCGTCAGCGCTCCGTGGAAATGGAAGCGGCACACAGGGTCTGGGTTCCCGACGTGCTGTCCTGCTGCAGACGGCGGCACCCCCAGCCCAAGGACGACCCAGACCTGTCCCGGCTGGGGCTCTGCCCTGTCTCTGCCCACTGGGGTGCTGTCCGGAGGCATTCCCAGAGGCTCGCGCTGTCCTCCCTGGGCCGGGCGCCCTCACGCCCCCGTGCTGTGTGTTGCAGAAGAAGATGGACAGCCGGGAGTATCCCGACGCGCAGGGCTTTGCCGCCGACATCCGGTTGATGTTCTCCAACTGCTACAAGTACAACCCCCCGGACCACGAGGTGGTGGCCATGGCCAGGCGGCTGCAGGTGTGTAGGCCCCTGCGGTGGGGTCTGGACGGGGTGGCAGTGGGCGGGCGTGTCTGGGCAGGAGGGAGAGGGGACAGGCCCCGGCCAGCAGGCTTCCTGGGGAGGTGTCAGGTGGCCCCCGTCTGTGCCTTTTATGCTCGGATGGCAGAAGTGCCTGACCTGTGGGGGGAAGCATGGGTGTCGCCATAGGAGCCAGGGTTCAGGTTGGCCTTTGCGCACACGGGGCTCACGGATCTGTGTTGGGGCATGCGTGCGTGTGCCCCATCCCTCTGCCGTCAGCGCAGACTGCTGTCCTCCTGGAGGGCCGGGCTGTGTTGGGAAGAGCGGCCCCGCGCGCGGGACGCTGTGCCGCCAGGATCTTGTCCTTCAGGACACAGAAAGTTGTGGCCGGATATCCTTCTCCTGGCCTGTTTCGTTGGACAGGAGCTGGAATGTTCTCTGGACTTTCCAGCCCCTGGCCCAGCCTGTTCGGAAGCCCCATGCGGGAACCGGCAGGTTGACCGTGATGCCCGGGGCAGGCAAGGGCCCCAGAGTAGCCCTGCCCACTGCAGGTGCTGCTGGTATTCCTGGTCTCCTGGCCTTGGCCCCAGTGCCATCCACCACCCCCTCTGTGTGCTGGCCCCCATCCGGATGTGGCGGACCATTCCGTGGGTCCCATCTGCCTGGTGACACCCCAGAACCATGGCTTTGCCCTAAGACCCTACCAGCTGCCTTGAACTCCCCAGGATTCGTGACTGTGGTGGGGTCCGGAAGCGGTCGATCTCGGCCTGGGCCGAACACGGACATGGTACAGGCAGGCCTGCAGTGCCCACCCCGTTCCGACAGCAGGTCTCTGCGGTGGGGGTGTAGCCAGAGTCCCAGCTCCGCCAGGCGGGCCGGGGTCAGCGCCCGCAGCCTTGTGGGGACGCCCTGCAGGTCATTGTGCCCCTGGGTGTGGCTTTGCCCCAAAAGGAGGGTCTGGGGGCCCAGGCCCCACGCCAGGCACCTGTTCAGTGGGGTTACAGCTTTTGTGTGTAAACCCTGGGGGTTCAGGTGAACAAACTTGGTGGAGTGTGGCCTCACCCCACGGCCTGGCGGGCACCCCACACCCAGACGACATTTCGGAGAGCCTGCCCCAGGGGCCGACAGGGCCAGTGAGACGGACAAGCCTTGGCCAAGTAAGGCCAAGGGAAACACAGGGTGCATAAATGGGGCAGTGTCGCAGCTCCAAGACCCCTGTGCTGGGTGCCCCAAGGCTCTGCGCTCAAAGGCAGACACTCCCGTGGCCTCCAGGGCGGCCACCTGGAAGCATCCACGCGTCCACAGACGACCGTGCAGGTCAGGGGTCTCCTCAGAGATGACCAGGCCTGTGACTGCTTCCCTGTGTCCCCTGCCCTGGATCCTCGGAGGGCCAGCTGGGCGGCCCATGCAGGGCCTGGTTTTCCAGCAGCTGCTGGCGGGCTCTGAGGGCGTCTGTGGAAGTGGTCCCCCTGGGGGCCCCCGGGGCCGGCAGAAGCTCAGGTGCCCTGCTCTCCCGCAGGACGTGTTTGAGATGCGGTTTGCCAAGATGCCGGACGAGCCGGCGGAGGCGCCTGCACTGCCCGCCCCCGCGGCCCCCGCTGCCAGCAAGGGCACGGAGAGCGGTCGCAGCAGCCAGGAGAGCTCCTCCGACTCGGGCAGCTCGGACTCGGAAGAGGAGCGGGCCACGCGGCTGGCGGAGCTGCAGGAGCAGGTGAGGCCTCCTTGGGGGCTGCCCCACCAGCTGGGCGGCCCTGGGCCGGGGCACACGGCCCGCCTACATCAGACACCCCGGAGGCCCGGCAGCCTGGCTGCTCTCCCGGCTTCAGGGTGGTCTGGGAAACAGGCAGAACCCTGAAGTCTGCCCGGAATGAGGCCTTTGGCCTCGGACCACCCCCTCTGCTGTCCTCTATGCAAGGTGGACGAGCTCTGTTCTCGGAGTGGTTTTGCGGAATCATGAAAAGTTGCGCGTGGCTTTCATTGAGGCCTGTTGTGCAGCCAGCGTGCTGGGGCCTGGGCTGGGAAGAGGCGTGGAGGTGGCCTGGCCCAGCCTGGTGGAGATGGCTGCAGGGACACCAGTTTCCCATGCGCTGGAGGCCCAGACCCCCGTCCTCACCTGGAGGCAGGGCTCACGGTGGCCCCCGCTGCCACCCAGCTGGGTGGTGCTCCTTGCTGGCTGGGATCATGACCCTGCGGGCCTGCTGCGGACACCAGGTGGCTTCCTCGAGGTGCTGTCGAGGTCGGCATGCAGGCCTAGCCTGACCGCTGGAGAAACAGGAGCCAATAGGAGAAGCGCCAGCTGCCGCCCGCGCCCCCGCGTCTCACCCAGTCGCCCCCGCCCTGGAGCAGTTCCTGACCCCCACTTCCCGGGAGGTCCGGCGTGTCCTGATGGGGGGCAAGTGGCCAGCCTGTCTGAGCTCCCACTCACTCCCCGCCGGTGCCTGCACGGCCGCTGCTCTCTTCCAGCTGAAGGCCGTGCACGAGCAGTTGGCTGCGCTGTCGCAGGCCCCGGTGAGCAAGCCCAAGAGAAAGAAGGAGAAGAAGGAGAAGGAGAAGAAGCGGAGGGACAGGGACCGGGACAGGGACAAGGACAGGCACAAAGTGAAGTCCGAGGACGAGAAAAAGGCCCGGGGGGCCCCGCCCGCCAAGCAGGCCCAGCAGAAGAAGGCGCCCGCCAAGAGGGCCAACAGCACCACCGCGGCCAGCAGGTGGGCCCCCGGCGCGCGGGCATGGAAGGAGGGGCGTTGTCCGGGGGGCCGATGAAGCTGAGCCAAGGCCATGGGGGACAGGGCGGGCTGGGGTGCTTGCGAAGCTGTGCTGGGTGTGTGGTGGGAGTGGGGGCACCGTCCACCTGTCCAAGGGGTTGGCCTCCGGTGCAGGTGGGGAGTGGCCATGCTGCTGGCCCAGGCTTCCGCAGTGCAAGGCCACGCGACATGTTCCCTCGCTGGGCCGAGGGTTTATCTGGGGCCTCTTGGGCGCCTGGTGCCCGGGCTGTTGGCGCCTGTCCCGGCCACCTCCTTGGCACTGGAACCTCGGACACAAAACCATGGACGCCAGTAGAAGGGGGTCCTGGTGGAGTTAGGGTGAGAGTGGTGCCCCAAAGGGCTGAGATTCGGGGCAAGGTTGGTGGGGGCTGCCGGGTGGGCTGGCTCTGCTGCATGCATCTCGCTCTGAGCGCATGAAGGGGAGTCTGTGATGTGGTCAAGCTGGACAGTCACCTCCTGGCTGCTGTGGAGGTGGGGATAGCGGGAGGCCAGCATGGAAGGGGCGCCTGTTTGGAGGGGTTGTGGGAATACAGGCGCAAGAGGTCTGGGGGATGGTGGAGGTGGGAGCAGTGGCTTGGAGGCCCCTCTGGGGGCACAGAGGCCAGACCCAGGCGCCTGGAGGTGGAAGGAGCCTGTGGAACTGGGCGCTTGGAGCCTGGCTTGTGCCATCGCGGCTTCCCGAGGTCGGGGCTGAGGCCACTGCCTGAGGCTTCCCTTCCCGGGTAAGCCTCGGAGCCGCGCAGCCAGCCAGCTGCGGTTTACGCTCTGCCCCTGCGTTTCGATGGGTCATCTCAGGATTCCTTCTCATTTTTTTTTGACCAAGGGGTACTTAGCTTCTAAAATACTGGAAAGTTTTTCAGATAATCCTTGGCTGTTGACTTTTAATTTTGTGAAAAACATACTTTGACGTCAAGACGTTGAAGCCTGCCGTGCCGCTGTGGCCTACTTCACAGCCCAGAGCAGGGTTGTCGGGGCGCGGGCCCCACGTGCGCGTGGAAGGGAGGCGTCCGCCTGCTGCCGGGGGCCGTGGCACGGCGTCGGGAGCTGCGTGTCCTGCCAGGCAGGGACCCCAGGTGCTCGCGGGTAGTGGCGTCAGGGCTCCTCGCTACAGCGTGTGCGTGGCGGGCTGTGTGCGGAGGCGGGAGGACTTGCTGTGTCCGCCGCGTTGTTCCTTTGACTCCGCTTGGGGAGGGCGGTCAGCTGAGCCCGCTGTCCGCGCCCCTCCTCCCGACGATCGCCCCTTCCCAAGTCCGCCTTGTGAAAGGCTGGGCCAGCCCCTCCGGCTCCTGCTGGTCAGCACCGTCCAGCGCTCCTGTCAGGTTGCAGCGGGGCTTGTGGGCAGTGTCCCGGCCGGCCACCTCGGTCTCTGGGTGTTTCGACCACTCACGTGAACGCGCTCCCTGAAGACTCGACCCAGCCCCGCGTCCTCCCGCCGGCCTCTGTTGGAGCGCGGGGGTCAGTCTTGGCCTGTGGAGCTCCAGGTGCCTGGGCCGTGGCGGGGAGTTGACTGCTGCCGCCGCGCCCGGCCAGCGCCCAGATGCCCACCTGTTCTGGCCCCTCCGGGCTGCCTAGCTGTTCCAGTGGGGGTGCCCCTTGGGCCAACCCTGGGTTCCAAGCCGGGCCCTGGGGAGGGGGTGCCTGCCGGAGGGGGCCCCTGCCACAAGGCCCCCTGCCTTCTCCCTCAGACAGCCGAAGAAGGGCGGCAAGCAGGCCTCCGCCCCCTACGACTCGGAGGAGGAGGAGGAGGGCCTGCCCATGAGCTACGACGAGAAGCGGCAGCTCAGCCTGGACATCAACCGGCTGCCCGGGGAGAAGCTGGGCCGTGTGGTGCACATCATCCAGTCCCGCGAGCCCTCACTCAGGGACTCCAACCCCGACGAGATCGAGATAGACTTCGAGACGCTGAAGCCCACCACCCTGCGGGAGCTGGAGCGCTATGTCAAGTCCTGTCTGCAGAAAAAGCAGAGGAAGCCGTTCTGTAAGTGGCGGCAGGGTGCTGGCAGCCCCTCGCCCTCCCTGCCGACCAACCCCCACTCCTCTGGTGCCCAGGCGGGCCGAAGGCCAGGCAACTCTGGGAGAGGACGCTGCCCCCCCACTTCTGCCTGGTCAGCGGGTGCCGCCGTGGGGCTGAGCCCCCTCCTCTGCTCTGGGTGGGGCACATGGTGTCTTCACCAGGCCAGAATGGACCCCTGAGCAGCCCCCTGTCCCCTGTGTTCGAGCACCACGACGGCCCTGCCCTAAGCCTCCACCGTCCCTTACCGGGCCAGGCCATAGGCTTTTGGCTGGGCTCAAGGCTCGAGAGTCAGGGCCTCCCGTGGGGCACCGGCATCGGCCTGTGCTACCTCTAGTGTCGCATAGGGCAGCCTGGCCTCCCCGGCAGGAATGTGCCTGGGCCACTGGCTCTTGGGGTGTGTGGTGGCAGGTAGCCTGGCAGTGGACATGGCTGAGGCCCTGGGGGGTGTCCCTGAGCCTGATGTGGCTCCTGGTACACACAGTCTATGCTGGCTGAGGGGCAGTGCTCTCTCCTGGATGGCATGCCACCTGACCCCCTGCAGGCAGGCCTGTATGACCTTGGTGGGGGGGGTCATGTGCTGGGTCACAGCCAGCTCAGGACCCTGCGAAGCCGAGGGAGAGCCATAGTCCAGGGAGAGGATAGCTGAGCGGGCAGGGTGTGCTTCAGGTGTCCACGGGGCCGCCAGCCATGACCTGCCGGCAGCTCGGCAGTTCTGGGATCAGCGAGGCTTTGCTGGTGCAGAAGGCGGCCTGGGCACTCAGGCGGCCGCCCGCCCTGGCTCATCCCCCGTGTTGCCCCACAGCCACCAGTGGGAAGAAGCAGGCGGCCAAGTCGAAGGAGGAGCTCGCTCAGGAAAAGAAAAAGGAGCTGGAGAAGCGGTTGCAGGACGTCAGCGGGCAGCTCAACAACAAGAAGCTGGCCAAGAAAGGTGCCTGCCCGCTTGCGCCCTGCGCCCCATACCCTGCGCTCCCCTCTGCCCCCAGAGGTGGGGCCCCAGTGGAGGGCCACGGTTCTGGACCCCCGAGACCCTCAGCACTGCAAACAGGGCCCCCAGCCCGGCCCTGTGGGGGGTGGGGGCCGGCAGGAGACTTGTGCTTCCTGGGAGGGCCCAGCTGGGGCCTCAGGGAGCCTGGGTCAGCGGGATGGTCTGGCTGTGCCCCAGACGGGCTCCCCGCACTTTGATAGGTGGGGAAGAGGCTCAGACTTGCGCCCCTGAGCCTCGGTGCTGTGGGCCATGGAGCTCATGCTGGAGGAACGGGTATTTGATTCCTGGCCTCCCATTTTGGGAGCCTGTGAAGGGACTGCGCCTGCCTTCCACCCCCAGGGGTGGCATGGCATGGGGGGGCGGTCAGAGGCAGGACACGTCTATCGCTGGGCGCTGTGGCCTGTGAGGCTGGCCTGCCTGCTGTTGAGATGGCCTGGTAGCCCCGGCCCCACTGCCTGGGGTCTCAGCAGGTGGCCACGTGTGGCGGGCGCCTGGCCACCACTGCCCCCTTCCGGACCACTGGCGCCTCTCAGCAGACCTTCTGCCTACCTAGCCCTGCGTCTCTGGGCAATGCTCTTAATCCTGACCCAGCTCCCGGTACTCCCTGCGTTTTCTGGCACCCGCCCTCCCATTGCCGCCCAAGTCCGCAGTTCCACTGGGTTCTGCGTGTCTGTCCATGTGGGCCCGCAGCCCCCTGCAAGGTGCAGGCCAGCCAGGAGGACAGCTGTCCTGCGCAGACTTCAGGCACTTGCTGGAGGGGCCCAGAACCGGACTGTGCTCTCTCACTGTGGGCACTTGGGGGCCCCGGGGCTCAGGGCAGGCCTCTGATGCCCTCTCCAGGGCCCCCTGGTGCTCCCTGGAGCACCCCCTCCCTGGAGGCAGTGGAGGGGCCAGCGGGCCCTGGGGCCCCACCTCAGTGACTTGGCCCAGGCAGGAGCTGTGGCCTCAGGCCCAGTTGGGGGTCCGCCTCCTGGTGCGCGCTGGCCCCCAGGGCCAGTGGGAGTGAGGGCTCCTCCCACACCAGCAGGGCAGCCTCAGCGCCCGTGGCTGATGTAGAGGCTGGCCAGGGCTGCACCGCAGTGCCTGGCCCCTCACTGCCTCTCCCCCTGTCTCCCCAGAGAAGCCGGGCTCTGCGTCGTCGGGAGGCCCATCCCGCCTCAGCAGCAGCTCCTCCTCCGAGTCCGGGAGCAGCAGTTCCAGCGGGTCCAGCTCGGACAGCAGCGACTCGGAGTGACCCGGGCCGCCGGCCATGCCCGCCTGCTGCCGCGCCCTGTCTGGTCAATACACGGCTTTTGCCCACGGCTGCGGGTTGCCTGTTCATTCAGTGTTAGGCCCCTCCCTGTCTTCGCGCCCCGTCGGGCCTGCTCCGTGCGGGCTCGTGAGGCACAGCGCACGGGCTGTCGTTCCCCGTGACCACATCCAGCTGCGGAGAGGGCCCCGCCCGCCGCCAGGACGCGCTTGGGCGCCAGGCTCAGGGGGGTCCCGCAGCCGCCCGCCCGGCCGGCCGGCCGGCCCCTCCAGGAGGATTCGGCCCGAGGAAAGGCCTCAGCTGGTACTGTATCTGGAAGCTGTTAGCGCTGCAAACGGGCGTCGCCCAGGCCGGCCACCGAGGACAGGGCCCCGGGGGCGCGAGCCAGGCGCAGGTCTGCGTACACTGAAACTTTTACCTCAACTTAAAAAAAGAAGAAAAGATTAAAAAAAAAGGAGACTTTTTTATAAGGTTCAGCGATTTTCTACGCGAGTCCTGCCCGACGTGTGTCCCCGTCGTGAGCGCCGCCGCACTCCAGACCGACCTCCCGATCTCGTGTATATATGAACGCTTTATTTATTAACATCATTGGTCATTTTTTAAAAAAAAAAAAGAAAAGAAAAAACAGCAAAAGAAATGCATTGGCGGCGGCGCAGGCCCGGTGCTGGGGCCGCGGTCCAGGTGCTCCCGGCGGTGCTGCCCGCAGGCCGCCCGTCTCTGTTCTGTGTGTGTGTGAGACTTGGAGACTCAGTGCAGGCAACTTCCAGCGCAGCACATCCTGGTTTTTTATTTTGTTGGTTTAGTTCTTTTGTATCCACGCTGGTCTCTCTAGGACTGTTTTAAAAGAAATCATTTAGGGAACCCCAGTTATATAATATAAACTTTGTAATCTGAGAGGGGAAAAAATGTATAGTAAATCTAAGTCTTGATTTTTTAACTTTCTATTGTAAAAAAAAAAAAAAATAATATACAGAGTTTAACAGAAGGTTCTGTTTGGTTTTGTTTTTCCAGAGGCCGCCCTCTGGCCTTCGAGTGCCCACGCCCCCGGCCACGCGGCCAGCCCCCTGGGCGCCTTTGCCTCCGCGCCCACGTGTCTTCCAGCAAGGGCTGTTACCAGGACTTTCTCCCCCAGGGCCTTGGGGGGGGGTTGCTGGGTGGGGGCTCGCACAGCTTTGTCCTGCTGGAGTTCCTCTTGGGTGGAGAGCCTCAGGGTCCCAGTGGGGGACAGTGTCCAGCCGAGTCCCCCGTGCGGCTGCCCTGGCCAGACAGGACTCGGAGGGGCCTGGCATGGGGGAGGTCCCGTTCCTCCAGCTGCTGGCGATCCTGATACTTGGTGAGTTTTGAGCCAGTTTGTTAAGCTTTTCAGCTTATAATAAAAATATAAGTGGATTTCAAACTTGCCATTGTTTAAAGTCACCCTTGTTTCTCAAAGATGTTTCTGAGCAGCGCTCGAGCGGAACACTTACCCAGGATTAAAGGAACCAGTGCCCAGAAGACAGGGCCTTAAGCGGGCTCTCACTGGCCGGCGGCGAGGCCTCAAGCCGCAAGCCGTGGAGGCCCCCGGGGTCCCTCCGGTGGCGAAGGGTCAGCCGAGCCAGCCAGTGGCCGGGGAGACGCCTGGGCCCTGGGGGCGTCCAGAGGTGTCGCTGCCCAGCACACCCGTCCGGGAGGGCCCCTGGCCGCCTGGGCAGTGTGGGTCATGGCTGCCGTCCCGGGCTCTCTGTCCAGACCAGTGTCAGGGGCTCCCCAACCCCTGGAGGTCGGCCTGCAGGGTGCTGCTCCTCCATTTCTCTGCGCTGGGGAGACCGCAGTGGACAAGCAGTTGTCCTAGAACCACAGCGCAGCTGTCTGGAGGGCAGGGGCCCGTGTGGAGCCGACTAGCCACACTCGGGGCTGGCCTGGGGAGCGCGGCAGGGCCCGGAGGCCGAGGGGGCCCTGGCCCAGCGCACTCTGGTTTTTTTTTCATTTGATTTTGGTTTGGTTCTTGGGCAACATTCATGTCTTTCACTGTCGTTTGGGGGAAACACCCCGATCAAGGTCTGCTCCATCCACCGGGGTGGGGGCCGCTGTCTGTCACGCTGGCCTAACGCTTCCGGGAAGTTTTTCTTTTTTATATTTAAAATGTTAATTTTCTGTATGATGTGCATGCAAGTTTACCGTAACTTTTCTTAAACTTTTTAGTGCCGTTTCTAGTATATTCCTGTAAATGTCAGTTACTGAAAATGAGTCCAATGGAAGTAGTTTAGCTTGTTTATTGCAATGCCGGCCTCAACACAACAGAATGGAAATGGTAGAAAGTATTCTTCGATGTCTCTGGTAATCGCGGCCCTTCTCCCGGGCATTTGTTTTGTTTTCATAATAAAAGTGGAAAAAAAAAAAAAAAACCAACCCGGTCCCTGTCTGTGCCTCTTCCTGTGCCTGTGGCCCCAGCCTCAGCTGCGTGGGGAGGCTCCAGGGCTGAGTACCGGCCTGGCCAGCTGGGCAGCAGCACGCCAAGCTGCCAGAAGGGCCTCTGAGGTGCTCCTCCAGCACCTGGTCCTCAGCCGGGCAGGGGGCGCCGGGATTTTAGGGGACGTGGGTTTTGCCTTAGAAAGTTCCGGCCCCTTTTCGGACAATGCTTCTCAGGTGGCGCTGCCGCTCCGCGCCAGGCCAGGTAGACACCCATGGGGCATCCTGTCTGAGCCCTGCCCTGTGCCTGCCTGTGCAGGGTGGTTTCCATCGGGCCTCAGCCACCCACCAGGACAGCCACGCCAGGGGGGTCCCGCGCCCGGGCTCCCCACCCCTCGGTACCGGCCAGCATGGGCTTCGGAGGAGAGCGCGAGGCCCGAGATGACATGTTCTCATGCCAATTGCCTTCAAACCAGAGCTTTCCAGACCAGGGTCTCGGCAGGCCCACGTCCAGAGCGGACGGCATCCCATCCCCCCGTGTGGGCACCCCCCGACCGCTCCTCCAGGTCCTCAGCCCTGATGACGGGACAGGCCAGTCCACTGGTGTCCCCAGCTCCCAGCCCGGTGCCAGCTGTCCCGGGCAGCTGCCATGCACATGACTGTCACTTGCAGACTCGCCTCACAGTGCCGTCTGCCTCAGCATGGGGCTACCCCGCCTCCACCTGTGGTTAAGGTGCACTGTGCGCTCTTCCCAAGCACCACTGGACTGGAGAACCGCCAGGAAGAGGGCAAAAGCTATGGTGGTGACTCCAGCGTAGTGCTCCCGCAGACTCGAGGCCTGGGCTCAGCGTCTCCCCAACCGCACAAGTGCTTCAGGACAGCTGACCACAGCAGTGCCAGCAGCAGAGGCGCCTGCAGCGAGAGCTCCGGGCCCTCCTAACCCCACGCGTCCCACTGGGCATTTGCCACTGGTGGTGCCGGCAGTCTGACCCAAGCACTGGTCACTAAAGAACTTGGACGGGACATCGCGTACATCCGCGCAGGACAGGTATGCACGCCCCCGGGGCTGCTGGGCAGCAGGAAGGTACCAGGGCACACTCCAGGCTGAACAGCTGAGCAAGAGGCAGAGGCGGGAGCAGGATTTGGGTATGGGGGGGTCAGAAGTCTGCGGGCTGTGCCTGGGGGTGGGGGCCACCGTGGTGGGAGAGCCTTCTGCTGTGCTTTGTGCATTTCTGTGTGGGGTCTTAGGAATCATTAGGTACCATGGTTATTAAAAAACAAACTGAAGCCAAGCTACGATGCTAGAACAAACATGCAGCTAGCGCGAGGGAGGAGAGCCCCTAGGGATGTTTATTGAGAAAAGGCAAGCCCGCTTTCCCTCCGCATTGGCAGATCTACTTACGAGGGCAACATGCCCACCCAGGTGGGCCCGGACACGGTCCCCCACTGCCCACCAAGGTAAGGGGGGCTGCTGCAGGCAGGGAGCCCAGAGCGACCCCAAAGACTAGTGGAGAATCACCACAGGCAGGTGACATGACTCTTGAATAGTTCTGGTTTCCTCCATGTCTTCTGGATGCACATGGCTACAGCCTCAGTATCTGGAAACTAGAATGGGGGTACCCATGCTGCATTAGCCCCGATGGTGTGGCAAACTGACCACTGCCACCCCGCTCAAGCTGCTGTGGCCCTTCACCTGCTAGGCTGGCCCTTCCCAGGTTGCAGTCAGTGCCCAAAACGATGGAACGCTTAGCAGCCGGACTGTCAGTCTTGCTTGATTGACATCAGCGGCCAGTCCTCGTGCCCTGGGCATGCCCGCCGGCACCTGGAGGGTCGGGGTGGGCCCAGGGTTTGAAGCAGGTGCACAGATGCTGTGGAAGGGCGGGGAGCCCCGTCTGGGATCCTGGGGTCCTCACCCCACACCTGGGTCCTTCATGGCCACTCTTCAGAGGACTGCTTGTCCTCCCCGCAAGGCCCCTGCATCCACAAGACTTGAAGCTGAAGGAGACGTGGCCTTTCCCTCACGGCAGGCCCAGCTCGCCCACCGCAGTCACATTATTGTGCAGAATTTGGACTGGCCTGTGTCCCGGGAGACGTTCAGCTTGTTTCTGTCGCGGACAAGGATGGCCTCGTTGCCGTACTGTGAGTACCACATGCTCCGGCTGCGGCTCAGGTAGGTCCCCCGCGGCACAGACTCCAGCTTCCGCTGCTGCTGCTGCCAGATGATCAGGGAGGTGTCCCTGTAGCGGAGCCTGGCGTGGCCTTCAGACAGGGCTCGCTCTGCCAGCGGGACGCGGCCACTCATCACTGGCAGTGGCGCCCGCTCTTGGGTGCCCGCGTGGGCACAGCAGCGCAAAACGCGCAGACAAACTGGCCGTCCTCCCGCAGCCGGGCGGGCAGGGGCCTGCGGTCACGTGGTAGGGATGGAGGGCAGGCCGCCAGTGGGTGCACCCTCCGCACCGGGTAGCCAGGAGGCCAGAGCGGGGCCTCGGAGCATACTGCAGGCACCTAAGGGTGGAGGTGAGGCGCCAGGTCAGGGTGGGCAGGGCTTCCAGTGCCAGTGTGCGCTTCTGGAGGTGGGAAGGCCAGGACAGGCGCCCACTCGGGGCCAGGTGTCCACTGCGACTGACTCGGTGGCTGGGAACCTTACCTCGGGGGACGCCAGCAGGCAGGAGTGACGGCCGCCTGGCACTGCCCGCGCCGGCCCTGCCCGGAGCGTGGCCAGGCTGAGGCCGGCCGCGGGGCCGGCGTCTGTGCAGCTCCGGTTCTGCGGAGCCTCCGCTCTTCTCCCAGGTGACGCTACAAAGACACGCGCGGGCGGTGCGGCCGGGGGAAGGCCGGGCGGGCCTCGCGCCTCCCCGGGCTGGGCGGGCTGGACGCGGGCAGGCGAGCGCCCAGTTCTCTCACCATCTCGCAGGGGCCTTGGACCCAGGAGACGCTGCTCTTGGGGCGCTCCTCGGGGCGCCCCTGTCTCCGCGGGAGCCCTACCCGGGCACGGGCGCCCGGGGCGGACCCGAGCGGGCCAGGGCGGGCCGGGGCCCGGCACTCACCCGGCACCTGCCTCGGCCGCTGGACGCCGGGGAGGCCTGGACCGGGAGGGAAAATGGCGTCAGGCCGGGGCGGCGCCATCACCCGCGCGGGCGCGCGCCCGGCCCCGGCGTGGGCTTCTGCGCTCCCTCGGCCCGAGCCCGCGCCGGCCCGGCCCGCGCCCCCGGCCCCGCCCGCGCCGCGGCCTCCCCGGCCTCCCGGGCGCCCCTCCACGGCCGCCGCGCCCGGACCCCGCCCGCGCTGCGCCCCGGCCCAGGGGGCCCCCGCCCCCGCCCGCGTCGCCCCCCGCGCCCCCGCGCCCCCGGGCCCGGGCCCCGCCGCGCGCCCCGACCCGTCACCGCGCGGGGCCTCGGCGACGCGCAGCCCGCGGGGCGGGGCGCCCCCAGACCGGGCGGCGCCGCGTCTCCATGGCAGCGCCGCAGGCTGGGCAGCCGAGCGCCGAGCCGGCCGGGCGGGCGGGACGCGGAGCCGAGCCCAGCCCCGCCGCCGACCCCGCGCGCGGCCCCGGGGGGAGCGAGGAGGGCCCCGCGCGCCCCGCGCGCCCCGCGCCCCCCGCGCCCCCCTACGACCCCCCAGCGCCCCGCGCCCCCCGCGCCGCAGCTGGGTGGCCCGGCCGGGCGCTCTCCAAGCCGCCTGGAGGTCAGCCCTGCCGCCCGCCGCCGGGCCGGCTGCCGGGGAACCCTCGGTGCCCCGCGCCCCCACCCCCGCCGCCGCGCTGTCCTGTCCCTGCCGAGCTGGACCTTAGGCGCCCCCGGGCCCGGCCGGGCCGGACCCCGAGCTGCGGAGCCGTCCTGTCCTGCAAGCGCATCAGCTCCGGGAACTTTGAAGCTCGAAATCCCACTGAAGGGTCACGGAGAGAGAGAGGCACAGCTGTAACAGGGTGGTCCCCAGGAAAGGGGGAGGTTCCCTGCCCCACCCAAGGGAGGGTGGAGCTGAGCAGGCAGAGGAGAAGCTGCAGAAGAGAAGGAGGAAGGAGCAGGATGGAGCCAGGAGACCTGGAAGAGGCGCATGGAGCCTAGAGACACGTGAAGAAACTGTTCTTGTCTTTTGGTCGTGGACGGGGTGACACAAATGTGGGTGAGACCTGTGGGGAGGTGACCATGGCAGCTTTTATCTTGATGTTGATTTTGCTCTTTTCCTTCTGGGCTTGTCCGGTTGTTTGTGACCCTTTTCTGTGGGTCCCCACTGGAAGATGTTTTAGACTTGTGGCAGGCTTTGGGGCCTTGTTCTGGGCCGATCCCATATGGGTGGACTTTTACCCACGAGGGGATGGGTCACTTTGGGTGCTTCATTTAGAAACTAGACTCTTTGCCTTACCTGTATTGTTTCCTAGTTTTTATTAAAGTTCCTTCCCATTAAAGTGTCATATGTTTTGTGTTGATGCGGCGGATGGCAGAACCCATTTAGAATAGGCAGGTTTGCGGGGTTTGGGCTGCCCCTCTCCCTGTCCTATAACACAGCCACAAGAAGAGCCGGAAGAAACGTGATCATCAAGAAATTTATCAAGAAATCGTATTTCCAAGTTTCTCGTGGGCCAAAGAGGAATTCACAATTCACATGTGTAAGGGCAGGACAGGACACAGGGCAGGTTTTCTGATCCCATGCAGACCAGGTAAAGGAGGAGTCAGAGTCCTTAGTGGGTTTTTGCAGGTCTTTTATTGGGGTTCACCAGGCATATGGCAGGCAGGGGTGCTGGGGGGCCGGGAGGCTGGCAGGCCTCCCGGGCCCCAGCAAGTCTTCATTCTATCTGGGCTCTCCGGCCTTCTCTCGGCTTCTGCTTCTCTTGCTTCTCTCTCGGCTGCTGCTGCTGCTCGGCTTCTGCTGGCGTCCCCGTGACGCCGCCCTTAAAAGCCCTGTCTTAGCCCAGGTGAATCCCATCTCCCTAGGCCCACACCCTACTCCAGGTGCCCGCCGTCAGGCATGCATTCAGGACCGCGAGGATCCATCATCTATCCTGATGGCGGGAGGCAGAAAAGCCTGACATTTTCTTTACCCTACAACATTTTAAATAGTTTAATTGGGGGCCTCCCTGGTAGCCAAGGGGTTAAGCACCGCACTTGAAAGCTGACCGCAGCCTCTGCGGCTGGCCAGGGAGCTACCCACATGGCAAGGCAGACCTCTCCTGTCTCCCCGCCGCTCCCTCAGCAGTGCATCAGTGGATCCGCCTGCTCTGCCCCCCACTCTGTCTCTGGGGAATCCTCTCACCCTCCCCTCGGCCCCCCACACTTCTGGCCTGCACCCCAGCTCTTGTATGCATAAATATAAATAGATAAATAAATAAATAAATGGACAAGTGTTTAGAAAAACACAATTTATCAATATGGACACCAGGAAAGAGAAAGAAATGCAGTCTGTAATGTAAAATCCTCCCTCATGGAAGAGCCCTCCCAGCATTTAAAGAAGTAATAAAACTGTTCTTACAGAATATTTCTGGAAACAGTAAATGAGGCAATCATTTCTAGCTTGTTTTATGAACTGGGGCGGCCTGGATACCAACCCCCTGGGACATGGCTGGAAGGGCTGATTAGCCAATCTCCTCCACAAACACAGCACAAATGTGAAGAGCCTGTTCCAAGAGCAGGCCTGAGGGGCGGACACACCCGCCCCATGGACAGTGCACCCTGACTAGTCCAGAAAGCCGAGGCTCTGTGATACCTGAAACCTCAGATGAAACTCGCCACATTAGCAGATGAAGGGGCAGCATCTAAGCTTTTCAATATCTATTGGATTCTGTTTAAGTTTTGGGTTAAGAAAGGAAACCACTTGGCAAAAGCAGAGTAAGAACTTAATTGGTTTCATGTGATAGAAGGTAGCTACCAAACAGCATGTAGCAAAATGCAGCAGAATGTTGAAAGCTTCCCCTTTAATGGAGAAAATTACAAGGTTGCAACTGTCACCTCTTTCAGTCCACATGGAACTGAAATGTTCTTCCTGCGCTGCTAGAAGTAAAGGCGCCCTCTGGTCCCACAGCCCAAGCCAGAGTGACAGATTTGAAGGCCGAGAAAGCAGACAGGCGGCTGCAGAGGGGAAAGGAGATCACGCGTCTCCTGCCGTCCATGGCCGGGACACTGTGCCTCGGGGGATGGCCCAACAGCGCCCGCAGGGGACACGAGCTTGGCCCCCAGGCGGCCACCGAGCGCCCCGGCCACCCATCAGCCATGAAGAAGACAGAGCAGCACACCTGCATTTGTGGTGCACGGCAAGGCCTGCGACTCCAGGCCCCGCAGGCGGTGACCCCACGGGGCCACAGTCGGTGCTTGGAGGGACCGGAGAGAGGGCGGCGTGGTGGACTTGTGGCTCCTGACCGGCACTTTGGAGGTTGCCCGCCGCTCAGGAGCCTCTACATTGAGTCCCGCTGCCTCCTTCTGGATGTAATTTTTTTCCCACTATATAAAAAAGTCTTAGAATAGTGATGCAAAGAAAAGAAAAAGCATGTAGGTGTGCAGGCTTGTACACGCGTATAAACGTGTGCATGTGTGCACGGGGTGTGGGGTGGAAGGAACAACACAGACTTTATGCTTGTGTGAAATACAGGAGAATTCCAGACAAATTATTAAAATTAATAAAACATAATTGCAAGGTTATTAGGTAGAAAATAAATAAAATGAACAGCAGTTACGTGTACCTATAAAAAGCAGAAAAAGGGGCCTCCCCTGGTGGCGCAGCGTTTGAGTGCTGGGCTGCGAAGCTGCCTGCAACCTCTGAGGCGCAGATTCGATCCCCGGCCGCCGGCAAGGGTTCCGCTGCTCCCCTCAGCAGTGTCCTTCGGTCCTTCTGCCTGTTCTGCTCCCAGCTCTGGCTCTGGCGAATTCTCTCACCCTCCCGCGCTTCTGACTGTACCCAGTGCTTGTATAAATAAATCAATCTTTAAAAAAAAAAAGGCGGAAAATGAAAGTTTTTGAGGGCAACTTTCATGATATCAAAATAGATCAAACACCTCTGAATAACCTAACAAAAAATATTCTAGACTTTTAAGCAAATAAAGTTAAAATGAAGACATTTCATGAGCTGAAAAATTCAGTATTTTTTTTAGATTTAAAAAATTTTTTTATTTATGCATGCAAGAACTGGGGGCGGGCCTCCCCTGGTGGCGCAGCGGTTGAGCGCTGGGCTGCGAAGCTGCCCACAGCCTCTGCAGCGCCGGTTCGATCCCCGGCCACCGGCGAGGGTCCCACATGGCACGATAGACCTCTCCTGCCGTGCCTGCTCCTCCCCTCAGCAGTGTTTTTCGTTGGTCTGCCTGTTCTGCTCCCCGCTCTGGCTCTGGTGAATTCTCACCCTCCCGCGCTTCTGACTGTACCCAGTGCTTTTATAAATAAAATAAGTTAATTAAAAAAAAAGAACTGGGGTACAGGCCAGAGGTGTGGGTGTGAGAGGACTCACCAGAGACAGTGGGGAGCAGAACAGGCAGACTGACTGAAATCCACTGCTGAGGGGAGCAGCGGGGAGACAGGAGAGGTCTGCTGCGCCTTGTGGGCAGCTCCCTGGCTGACTGGGCTCGAACTCTGCACTTCAGAAGCCGCGGATTGCTTCACAGTGTGACACCCAACCTCTTGCGCCACCAGGGAGGCCCCCTGAAAAATTCAGTATTTAAAGACACCATTTCTTCCCAACCTGATTTATGGATTTAAAGCAACTCCCAGTAACATCACCACAGACCCGCAATCTGACCAGCAATTCTAAAACTAATGGGGGAAAATG